GGTGATTCAGTAACGAATACTCAACATTCAGCAGAAAGTAGTGATGAGTATCACATTCACGAAACAAAGAAACCATTAAATCATTTTAAACAGCAAATATTGATTAACGATGGAGCAAGAATAACAGTCTTGAACACGATTTCTTATTTTAATAATAAGCGATTTTTAATCGAGTACGACATACCACAAAATTAAATTGGTGTTTTGAAAGAATATATAAGCAATAACAAAATATAGCCAATCACTATTTGTAAACAGACTTCGGTATAAAATTCTTAATAATAACTAAATCGCAATCCAATAGACTCAAGGTTAAAGAATTTCATCAAATGATGAAATTCATATTAAATAAACAATAATAAATAGTATAAATAGGCTTAAGTGTAAAATAAGAGGAGGCTTTTTCTGTAAGAAGGCGGTTCTGTAAGCATGGCTGAATAAAGTTGAAGTAACGGCTTAATTTGTTTTCTTTTTAAAAACATTTCGCGGCCGGGCTAAAAAATAAGTTGCATGCAAAACTGATAACTGGCTAAATGAATTATGCAATTTTCAAAGTAATATAGGCTATAGCCAATGTGCAAATAAGACATACTTATACATACATTTTAAATATTTCTTTTGTTTGATATATTATATTATTTTCATATATACAGTATACATACATATACGGGTATACACTATATGCATAACATACTATCATAATATCAGAGATCCTTGAAATTTGAAAATTGAATTTTGTATGATGGTCGATTGGTTGGCTAACAAAGCTGAAAAATCGAGATCAAGGAGTTTACCATTTTCTGTAATATTTGCTGTTATTTAACAGAAATGACAATTTATAACAACGTTTTCTGACAAAATACGTATCTCCCAACGTAAAGAGAAAAATTTAATACATTAAACAAAAAATACAAATGCCACTTCACATATGCATTATTTTTTGTCATATAAACGATTTTTATGATAAAAATTGATAAAATATGATTTTTTTTTGCACAAATTAGGCATGATAAGATGCGAAAGATTATGCAAAAAAAAATATATTTTACTTTTTCAATAATTTTCTAACTTCAATTGTTACAGAATTAATAATTTATGTATGTACATATGTACATCAATATGTTATGTTATGTAATATAATAATATATTATCACTTATCAATAAATACACGTGCGCGCACTGCTCTATATGAAAGTATGTATGTACAAATATGCGTATGACATTGCAAAATAAGTAATGCGTACGCAAATCTACAGATATACACACATATATATGCGTACAAATGTAAGTATATGAGCCAATAGAAAAAGTACAAACGTTGTTATACAAAAACAACAATTCTCTCAAATAGCATGAGCAGCGTCAGAAACCAATATGGCAGCCAAATCCTAAATTTGTAGTTAATCACACAACAACAACATTTTCCTTCATGAACGCTGGTGCACATGCAATAAGCTACATAAGTCGTTTCATTCATAAAAGCAAACGCCTTACACATCTCCCCGAGCATGCGTTTGCCAACAAGCGTCCTTTCGCGACGATGGCAAAAGCTAGAAATCATAAATTGAACATCTTTTTGATGTTCCCTGTAGAAGGGAAAAATGACAACCCTGCAAACACAGATAACAATGACAAAAGTGGCAACAAAGCTTTTGTCGACTTAAAATATATTACAATTCTAAAATATTTTTCCATGGCTCGTAAAAATCTTCGTCAATATGTATGCAGGTTCATATAAAAACATACATACCTACAACGATTTTTAGGCAAAGCTGTTAGCTGTATTCCTATGTGTGTGAAACAGCCGTGATCACCTGATCGAATATGCCTTTTTTTGACACAGATTTTTAAATATAAGGTTGTGGTTAACAATTTGCACTTAAAATGGAAATATTTTGAAAACTATAAGTTTCCGGCGGCAAAAATTATATATATTCGTGATCTGGAGAATCTCCTCTATCGAACCATACCCCTCTTATTGAAGAGAATATAATATGTATGCCAAACTGGGAATATTGATATGCCATTTGAAATATATTCCCTTTTATTGAACTATTATTTATTATTTTTTAAATTATTTTATGTTAATTCATTTTTACTTTATTATGAGAAATATATCAAAATACTTTTAAATTATTACTAATAAAGTATTTTGATATATTTCTTAAAATAATTCATGTAGTTGACACCATTATGGAGTCATAAAAGTACAGAATTGTGTTTTGCCGTCGGCATTTTCATATCATGTGTACATGTAAAGAAATGTGAAAGAAAAATGTTTGTAAATTTGTCTACAAACAACATATGTATGTAGATATGTACACTCATTACTTCATGTCAAATCTCCGTTGACACGGTCAACCAATGATCGAAGCTCACGTTTTTTGCTTTATGTCAAAGAGTCAATCTGTCGAAGGACTGACGCGAAGACAACGCGTCACAACATTTTGTTTGGTAGAAACGAACTTTCGCCGATTGTCACCGCTACCCTTGCCGCTCTAATAGCTTTGCCCACAAATCATTGTAAATATGTATGTTTATATATGAGCATGCATCCATATTGACGCAGATTTTTGCGAGTCACGGAAAATATTTTAGAATTGTAAAATATTTAAATCGAAAAAAGCTTTGTTGCTTGCAAAGTTTTCACTTTTCCCTTCCAGAGGGAACATAAAAAAGTTGTTCAATTTATGATTTCTAGCTTTGACCATCGTCGCGAAAATACGCTTCTAGGCAAGCGCATGCTCGGGGAGATGTGTAAGGCGTTTGCTTTTATGAATGAAACGACTTTGCTTATTGCATGTGCGCCAGCGTTCATGAATGAAAATGTTGTTGTCGTGTGATTTACTACAAATTTAGGATTTGTCAATTTGGCTGCCGTTTTGGTTTCTGACGCTGCTCATGCTATTTGTGACAATTGTTGCATTACTTATTTTGCAATGTCATACGCATATTTGTAGATACATTGTTTAGGATTGCACTAAGCATTCAAACCAAGCGTGTTCTAATGACGGATTTGCACTACAATAAAACAACGATTTTAATATTTTCACTATTTATTTGGTACGCTCCAAGTACCATCCAATTCCTTTGACATACAAGTGAACACATCTTATGCTTAACTTATGCGTATATAGAAAATTAGTATATCAGCGAACCGGCGAAAGTAGCAAAGTTGTTATTGCATACGGTAAAATAGGCTGACTCAACTATGGTAAAAGTACCGAAGCTAAAGTACGTCACCTGACAATGATGATGCCAGATTGTACCTAGAGAATGGTGCTGCCAAATTGTACAGCATAACTCTCTCAAATTGATTGAACTTATTGTTAATTGTTAACATACATACTTTCATTTAGAGCAGTGCGCGCACATATATTTATTGACAAGTGATACTATATTATTATATTATATAATATAACATTTTGATGTACATATGTACATACATAAATTATTAATTCTGTAACAATTTAAATTAGAAAATTATGAAAATAGTAAAATATCATTTTTTGAATAATCTTTGGCATTTTATCATGCCTCATTTGTGCAAAAAAAATCATATTTTATCAATTTTTATCATAAAAATATTTTATATGATAAAAAATAATGCATATGTGAAGTGGCATTTTTATTTTTTGTTTAAGGTATTTAATTTTACTCTTTACGTTTGAAGATACGTATTTTGTAAAAGAACGTTGTTATAAATTCACTTTTCTGTTAAATAACAGCAAATATTACAGAAAATGGTAAACTCCTTGATCTCAATTTTTCGGCTCTGTTAGCCGTCCAATCGAGCATCATACAAAATTCAATTTGCACCTTTTCGTTCTTCTAAGTTCTCTGCGTCACCAAGAAAAACCATTAGCATTGTTCTATCAGAGAACAGAGAAGTCTTCTTCTAAGTTCTCTGGTTCTACAATAACAACAATCGTCTCATATAATAGCATCACAAGTCAATATGGCAGCCAAATAGCCGAAGCACAAATTTATAATGAACACACAATATTTTCATACATGAACGCAAGCGTACTTACTACAAGCAAAGTTGATTCATTCATAAAAGCGGACACCATCACATCTCCCCGAACATGTGTTTGCCTACAATTTTGTACCCATAAGATAAAATTATATATAGAACTTTATATTTTCGGATAAATTGAATAAAAAAAAAAACACGTTAACTTCGGTTGCCCCGAAGCTATAACACCCTTCACAAATACAAAGGCTCCTTGCAAGGACTTGATTTAATGTCGTGAATATACCTCGTCAACTAGAAAAGTTTTCCATGCAAGCATTTTATTCCGATCGTTCAGTTAATAAAACTGATATATGCTATAGTCATCCGATCTATACAATTTCTTCGGAGCTTGCATCATTGCTTTAGACAATAATCCAAGCTAAATTTCTTGAAGATACCTCGTCAAATAAAAAAGTTTTCCATGCAAGCACTTTATTCCGATTGTTCAGTTTGTATGGCAGCTGTATGCTATAGTAATCTGATCTGAACAATTTCTTCGAAGATTGTATTATTGGCTTTGAGAATAACCCATGCCAAATTTCGTGAACATACCTCGTCAAATAAAAAAGTTTTCCATGCAAGCACTTTACTCCGATGGTTCAGTTAATATGGCACCGATATGCTATAGTCATCCGATCTATACAATTTCTTCGGAGATTACATTATTGCGTTAGGAAATAACTCATGGAAAATTTCGTGAAGATATTGCGTCAAATGAAATAGTTTTCCATACCAGCACTTGATTCCGATCGTTCAGTTTGTATGGCAGCTATATGCTATAGCGGTTCGATATCGGCCGTTCCGATAAATGAGCAGCTTCTTAGGGAGAAAAAGACTGGTGCAAAATTTCAGATTGTTAGCCTAAGAACTGATGGACTAGTCCGCGTACAGACGGGCATGGCTAAATCAACGAGCTGATTATGCTGACCATTTATATATACATATATTTAATAGGGTATACGACGATTCCTTCTGGGTGTTACAAACTTCGTGTAAAACTTAATATACCCTGTTCAGGGTCCAAAAATCCAATAAAATTGCTCATAAAATTGAAAAAAATCATTACATACAAGTATATAGGCAATTCACAAGCATTGTCTTATGTCTTATGTCGTATTTCAATAGTCTTAAAAAATACGACACTTGTGAGCACCCTTTAATCGTTGTATGTCATATTGTGTTATAATTCTACACTTCATCAGCTGAAAGCTAAAAATTAAGAATACAAAAATGCCACGAGAAACTGACAAAAATAAAATAATAGGTTATTTATGTGAAAATCATGCATTGACTTTATTAGGAGTTGAATCAAGTAAGTATTTGTATACATTTCTTCATTCAATACTAATATTTACACTTTGGCAGGTGAGGAAAAAGACGAAGCTATTGAAAGTTTTTTAATCAGCATGAGCTGCTTGCTGAGCAAGAGAAGAAGCGTTCAGTTCGGCTTACCAAAGTGTTCCAGTTGGCAGCGAAATGAGCTAAGGAATCTTAACGAAAGCAGATTCAATCAGATGCTTCGTGTTCGCGCGGAGGAATGCGAACGTATCTTAGAATTAATTAAAAATGACGCTGTTTTTAAAACAAGTTCAAGTGCTACACAATTTCCAATCGAATTGAAACTCAAAATAGTGCTGTATCGGTTGGGATCTTCCGACGATGGACAATCTGTTCGCAAAGTGGCTTCCTTATTCGTTGTGGGTGATGGAGGCAATATTAAAAATGTAACGCAACGAATTTGAACGAAGCCATGTTGCGATTGAAAAATTAGTTTATATACTGCGAAAGAAATGCCAGGGTGTGTAGGTTACATCGATGGTTCCGAAATAAAATTAGCCGAAGCTCCAGTTAGATAACACGAGATTTACTATTCGTGTAAACGTCAATATTCTGTAAAAATACAAGCGATTTACGACTATAAATTGCGCATTAGGCAGGTAACGATTGGTTATCCAGGCAGTGTACATGACGCGAAAATATTTTCAAATTGTTCACTCGCAAAACATCCGGAACGATTCTTTTCGACATCACAGTGCGTCGCGGGAGATAGTGCCTATCCACTGAAACCATATTTATGACCCCCTTCCGGCAAAACAGCGTTGAAAATACAAAAGAAGAAAGGGATTCATTTAATGCGTATAACCAAATACCGCGTACGAATTGAGAATTGTTTTGGTCTTTTGAAAGAGAAGTTCGGTAGCTTGAAGGAGCTCAAATTTAAACTGCTCTCAACGTCAAATAAGAAGGAATGCAATGACTGGATTATAGTATGTTGTATTCTTCACAACATGTTAATGAATTTCGAAACATATAATGGAAACAGCAATGAAGTTTCGATGCCTCAATTTCCTTCAACATCAGGAAATATTAGGAGAAATTACTTGCTTCGTTAAAAAAATCAAAATGCTTAATACACATATATGTATGTTCTATTCTATATTCTTTAATCCTACAAGTTAAAAAAAATGCGTGATCATTTTACTTCATTAAATTCAACTTTATTTTTCATTCTAATTTTTTTATTTTGCGTTAGGTACATTCATTGCAACATGGTTTGCATTGTACTTTCATATAAGTATATACTTCAAAAGATACTAAGAACTATTAATGTCACAAAAAAATTTATAGTAACGCAAAAACTTCATTTAAAACAAAAACACATAAAAAAATAACTTCATAACAACTGTGAACTAAAAATGTAATAAATAATAAATTACTTATATTTAAGTCTAAACAGAGAACTTAAAACAACGAGAAGGTGCAGGTTCGACAGTGAACAATTTGTAGGATTTTATCAAGGATCACATGCACCAGAAACAAATAACATTTCTCGCTTTTATAACAGCGGTGAATCTGTAAACATACACTATCTTAACATAACCAAACGGCGAATATTGAAGAGAATATAATATGTATGCCAAACTGGGAATATTGATATGCTATTTAAAACATATTCCCTTTTATTGAACTATTATTTATTATTATTTTTAAATTATTTTATGTTAATTCATTTTTACTTTCTTCTGAGTTATTAATAATAATTTAAACATATTTTGATATATTCTTTAAAATAATTCAAGGGCTTGACACCATTATGGAGTCATAAAAGTACAGAATTGTGTTTTGCCGTCGGCATTTTCGTATCATGTGTAAAAATATTTGTAAATTTGTCTACAAAAAACATATGCATGTAGATATGAACACTCATTACTTCATGTGAAATCTCCGTTGACACGGTCAACCAATGATCGAAGCTCACGTTCTTTGCTTTTATGTCGTCGCGTCAGTCCTTCGACAGATTGACTCTTTGACATAAAAGCA